TTAGGTCAAATTTCCGAAAATTCGTCAATTCTCCGTGAAGGGGGGGGGGGGCGGTCGCCCCCCTCCCGCCCCACCACGATTTTCGCCACTGCTAGCATTATATAATTATAATAGTTATGTTTGAGCAGTCTTATATAGCACTACAGTATATAGGAATAGGATACTGGTGCATGTCCACAATCATACCGTATTCCAGTCATTTAACTTTGTCCGTAATGTTTTCTCCAGTTCGACAAGCTTTATATCTCCTTCAGGCTAACAAAAATTTAAAAAACACATATTTGGTTAAAAAATTCACACATATTGAAAACTTGCAAAAAATGAAACTAGGTGAATTGGTTCATTATCATCGGCTCGACGTCGACGTGTATAGTAGTCTTTATATAGAAAGTAGCTTTCAATCGGCAACAACTAGCATCTCGAAAATATTGATTTAATTTTTGAAAATAACATCAAGTTGTGATTATACCTGGTAAGGAACTTCACCAAGTTCGTTTGCAAGATCAAGCAATTCTCTTTCATACGTTTCAATACTTGACTTTAATTCTAACATAAATTCTTTTTCATCATTTAACATATCCACAAACAAACTTCGGACATATTGTAAGATAACTTCCAATCTGTTTTTATGAACGGAAGAACTGATTCCCATCTCTTCCCACATCGTCTCAAATGTTTGCATAAATTCCGCAACCATAAGTACTAAACCATCTTGAACAATCTTTGTTCCATTAAGGTCCTGTACGTTCATGTTCGTTACCCTAAAGAAAGTGTATAGTATATAGTATGCGATGTTATGATATTTTCCACTCAGTAATATGATGGGATGAAATGTTAGTCTCGAGTGAATGATATCTGTCTGCCCGGCTGCCTATATATATAAAATGAAATATATATTCATTGGGACATTGAAAAGATTGTATATAAACTGAATGAAAATCTATGCTAGCTACGTTTCCAGTGCATGAAACCTTCATCCCTTCGTATCAACGTATGTATACTACGCTCGTCTAGATACATAACTGTAAGAGCTCAAATGCCCTTCCTGTAACTTAGTCTGATATCAATATACGGTTTTAAAACAGAATGTTAGGGTTTGTAATCCAAGTGAGATTATACATTTTAAGACCTAACCAGGAACGACTGCGAAAAATGCAGCACAAGGTCCTCTGGTAGGAATTGAACCTACGGCCCTGCGATTCCGGTGCAGCACTCTAACCAACTGAGCTACACTGAGGTCAGCTGTTGAGCTGTAACCGTAAGTTCATGTATATGTGGGTAATCGGGTGTGCGGGTTGTGATAAGGTGGACTTCAATGATTTGGATTCTTGCACTTCACTTGGTGGAATTAATATTAGAATGTTAGGGTTTGTAATCCAAGTGAGAATATATACATTTTAAGACCTAACCCGGAACGACTGCGAAAAATGCAGCACAAGGCCCTCTGGTAGGAATCGTTCATGGTTAGGTCTTAAAAT